AATGAAGTTTTCGCTCAACTTATTAATTTTATTATTTAGTTTAATTATTTATTAATTTATTATTTTAATTATTTAAGGGTTAATTTGAGAGAAGACTTGATTATATAATTGAATTTACAGAAAGCTGGTATAAAGAAATTGAGAAACAGACAACTGAAATTAATTTTTTAAAAGGCTCAAAAGAAAATTTTAGGAATATGATATTTGATGTAGAATATCGAGTTAATAAATTTGGACCTGAAGCTACAATAAAAAAGGTAAAAAGAATTGATGATAAATATATAATTGAAGGTGATAGTGTTTATTGGAGATGAAAATTTTCTAATTATATAATACAATATTTAAAAGATTATCTAAAAAGTCAAAAATGTTTAAGTATATGAATTTAGAAATAATCAAATTCAACAAAAATCATTTATTAATTTAGATAATAATAATTTAATTAATAAAGAAATTGAAATTGAATCTGATGAACTATCAGAATATAAGAGATCAAATTTATTAGCTAAATAATTAAATAAATGAATAAAATTAAATTAAAAAATTAGTTTAAAAATTGTGGCTTAGCATTTTAAATTATAAAAAGACTTGTATTTTCTTTTAATTAATTAAAATAAATTGGCAAGATAAATTCAAAGACTTTGAAGTTTTGTCTGGTTAGACGAAATTGCTGATTATTAAATCTTGAAGAAAATCAAATTCATATTGAGTTGTCAAGATTAATGCAACTTTATTCTTTGAAGTCTCAATGCAGAAACTAAAAATCACATTTCTAACTGATCTTGATAATGTTAATTTATTAAAAAAATATACTTGAATTAAACATAAGAATTATATTATAACAACTAGTAATAATAAAAATAGATATATTCAATTTCATTAAATGATCTATCCAAATTATAAGTTAATTAATCACAAAAACAGAATAGGTTTTGATAATAAAAAATATAATCTTCAAGAAACAACTTATAAAAAAAAATGCATTAAATTGTAAATTATCAAAAAATAATTTAAGTAGATTTAATAGAATTTTATTTAATAAATTTGAAAATGCTTGGAAATTTCAATAGAGCAAAAATAAAAATTAAAATCAAAACAATTTTATATTATGAAAACAAGAACTAAAGAACAAGCAAAGCAACAAGCCATCAATTTTAAATTAGCATATGATAAAATCACAGAAAATATGAATGGACATTCAATTTAATGTAAAATTTATTATTTAATAAAATATATAAATATATAACTAAAATATTTAAATAATAAAATATATAAAAATAATTTAAATTAATAGTTAGAAAATTTATCTTGTTCATCAACCCATTCACTTTCTTGTTTTTCAAAATAGTTCTAATTAATAAATTTCTCTTGCTTGTTTATTTTTTTAGCATCTTCTTCAACATTAGAAAATAAATATAATTAATTTGTAAAATCATTAATTACCTCATTAACTTGAGAATATAATTTTTCTTGATCATATAAATTTTGGCAAATTTCAAATGCTTTTCTGAAAAATGCATTATAATAAACAATATGATCTGTCAAATCTTTAATACAAGAATTTTTACAAATTATTTCATCTTGTAGATTTTTAATAATCTCTTCATATATTTTTTCTTGTAATTCTTCTTCTGTTTCTTTCAATTCTTGAAGTCTTTGAGATTCAAGAATAAAATCTGTTCAAGTTTTTTTTAATTCTTGTTTAAGCTGAGACTCATTTTCTTGAATTTTTTTTAATTCTTGTTTAAGTTTTTTTATTTCTTCTTGAGATTCAAAAAAAAAAGTTCTGTTTTAGCAATTTTCTTTTATTAAACATTTTGTTTTAAAAGATGATGAAGTTTTAGAAATAATTAATAATTTGCATTTGAACATTTTACTGATTATAAAAAAATTTAACATATTTAAAGAATTTTATTACTAAGTAATAGATACTAAAATTTAATTGGTTCATCTTTTTGAATTTAGAATTAATTTTCAAAATTAGAATTTTTTATATTTTTAAAATTTTAATTGTTACAAGTAGACTATAACCTTCTTAATACAACACAAATAACAAAGCATACAGCTATAGAGCTTCATTGCGAGATTATAGTGGTGTAAAAGTATAATGTTACTTTATTAAGGGCAGTTTGTGAAAAGTATATAGTTAAAGATACAATATATTTTATTTATAGTATATAAGACTTTATTACAAGAAAGAATCCTATAACCAAAAAAGGTTTCTGTATCTACTTGAGTCTATTTAAAGATGATTCAAACTAACTGGCAGGAAGAGAGAAAAGCCAGGGTATATATCTTTTTCTAAACTATTTAAAACTAATAGAAATAATAAGAAATAGTAAAAATGATAAAAACAGCAAGAATGG